AAAAAATGGAATAAGTGGCTATTAGATAGAATCGCAAAGTTTATATTAGACGTATAATAGTTCATATTACTATTTATTAGTTTATACTACAAATTTATATTAGATATAATAAATTAGTTATTATATATAAAATAATTTTCTTTATATGGATCACTAATGAAAATCTAAAACGTATATTTTACATTAATATAATATATGTAATAAGCATAAAACATGTGTTAGCATGTACTAAGTTATCTGTATTGTAGGAAGTATATTTCACTTCTTAGAAAATAATATTCAGATAGAGAGTTCTAAAGTGTCTTCAAGATGTATGAGCTAATAAATGTTACTACGTGCTCTTACAACCCACGCCCAATGTATTGAATTACGTTTAAGTGTAAAACTGTGTACGATACTAAATAACTGTAACAAGAAGTAAGCGAAACTGTCCCAGAGTAATCCTCCACTCTCTCCCTTACAATTTAACTCACTCCTGATACCAAACTTTCGAAACAATCTATACATGTAGTACAGTGGTCCTTTGTTCAACTGCGTATTCATTCTAACATCCATGGTGGTCCCTTCACTCCTTTCTTTGTTATTCTGGTTAATAGCAATTTTTCTTTAATGTTTTTTCTGCACAATATTCAGAGAGGTCTTCTAACTTTTAAAAAAGAATTAAATTGGTTGCTCCAACATTAATGAAATTATCACAGAAGTCCCTTCAGTTTCTTCTGTTCTGGCTAATAGCTTTTTCTTTAATTTTTGTCGACGCATTATTTAGGAAGTTCTCCTAACATTTACAACAAAATTTAAGTTGATTGCTCCAACATTAAAGAAGTTATCACTGAAGTCCCTTCACTTTCTTCTATTCTGGTTAAGAGCTATTTTTCTTTCATTTTTGTCGACACATTTTTTAGGAAGGTCTCCTAACATTAAAAAAAAATTAATTATTCGAACATTCTGTTTTGAAGCGTGTCGGTCAATGTATTTACTTTCTAATTATATTCTAATAAATTCTTTACTCAGCTCGCCTGAAGGGCTCATAAAGGGTCTTTAAAAGGGATCTTAAAATGTCGCTGTCTAAAGCACCGTGAAACATCTATTTAAACTTCTAATCCCTTCTTCACCGGTAGGATACATTAACGTCCGGCGATGGCTGGAAAGTTTCGAGCTTCCGATGCTCGGAACCTGGATGCTGGAACTCGGTAAGAAGAATATGATCACCGTGCGACGGTGAATAAATGCGGAAACTTTCGGCGGCCAACAATGGCGGTGGCACAATGGGACTTGGCGGGGGCGGAGGATACTTTTATTTCAGTAAACCGTTTCACGCGTATCGTTACGAGAAGAAAACGAGTCCACCCGTCTCGGGAAAGTCGATGAGAGACTCGACGGCGACGAAGTTGGCGACGGACAAACGTTATATGTATACATACATTCACATACGTGTATACGTGTATATTACTCACATGGGAGTGGGACAGCAGTTCCTTCATGATGAAATTGTCGTAGATCTCTCTGGCGAGCTTTTTCCTCTCTTCCGGGCATTCCTGCTTCTCGTACGCCTTGATCTACAATGCATAAATCAGAAATTCCTTATGGGAGTTGGACGGCGGTGCGTGCCACCACGCCACTCGAACTTAAATTACTGTTCATGCCTCTGCGGCATAACGAGACGAACCTCTTCGTAAAACCTAAACTGCGGAATCGGCTCCTCGGCCACGTTCTCGCAGAAGTCTTTGAACAACAGGTAACCTGCAATCAGAAATGAAAAAGAATGCTCGATCGGTCGGTCGATTATGCTCGCGTGCCTCGCCTCCATGAAGCCGACTTAAAAAGTATTACATCGGTACATGAATAATTATGAGCCGGGCTTAACAGTCGCCCCTTAAACAATCAGATTTGGCCTGGTTAGGGCCAGATTTATTTCTTGACAAACTTCATGCTCGGCCGCGTTATTATTTCGATAATTCATTCCCAACCACGGCCGGAAACCAGTTTTTCAAATTTACTTACAGAGCCGATAAATGCGCATAAATTTACGTCGCGTATAAAATTAACTTTCTTATCAACGGCAAATAACTTTTTCGCGAAGAAAAATGGCAAGTTCACAGCGGCAAACAATGAGCAAGGTTCTACGAGATGGATGAATTGTAAAATACTTTGATAACAAAAAAAACTATGCATTTATGATCCGAAGTTACTTCTTGAGAAATTGCATTATCATCTCTAATAAATGATAATATTTAGTCCTACATAATAACTGAGACAGTAAACATTAGTTGTACTCCTTCGTTGTAATTAATGAACTGAGTTTAGAATCTGTTTTCTAAGAATCATACAATGTGCTCGTTTCTTTGATTGATTGAACGTTTCAGGGACTCGTGGCAATATTTATATTCCAACAGTGATTAACACTAGATTGCCCAAGTAAGTCATTTTTACTGCTTTTGGGCAAATGTACAAATAATAATGCATAAATTATTTTTTTCCCAAGTGAAGTAANAATGCAGTGATTTTTACTGCTTTGGGCAATATAGGTATATACTAAGTTTCAGTCTTTCTAGTGTTAATACTTATTAACCATTAATTATTATCACTGGGAACGTTACGCAAGTAATCCAATAATTGCGTGAAAAATGTTTAAAGCGTGAACGAGATACGTATTTAAGGATGCGAATAGAAGAAATGTGAGAAATGAAAAAGTAAGGAGATGAATCGCGGCACGGAACAAGGACGAAAGATCATTTTGTATAACGGTGGATACGTATGAAAGACCGAAAACGAGTAGTTAGGTCATGTTTGACCTAAATCGCGGCAGAAAAGCCTGACCCTGAACTGCGAAAACTCGTAACTTCTACTTGAACGCGAATTCGAAATTTACCTCACGTATCGTTTACATGGTAAACCGATATACTTCAATCATCCTGAAATTTATAGCTGTGATATTATTTCCTCGCTATCGGCGACGGGACAAGTTTATTAGAGACTTTGATAGATATCACGATTAGAAATATTCTTTCGCCACGTAAACGGACGAAATGAGAATTCGATCACTGAACCTCTATAAGAAATATTACACCGAATAATCAATAGTAATTGTCTTATTAATCATCACTTTTAAAAAGGTGCAAAATAAAAGACACGTATATTATAATAATCAAACACGTTTTTTCCGTTCCACTGATCAGTTTCACGGTTTAATTACTTCTATGTATTTTTTATTGATTCTCTTAATTAAAATTGTAATGAGATTAATATATTCTGAATATATATAAAGTTCGTGTTCTCTTGGGCAGGAATTATTCAATCGACATTGACTAAATAATTTATGAGCTCTGTATTTATATTAATAACGTCATAATTAAGGTTGAAACATACTTATAACCGGACCGCTAATGAGAGACCATTAGTAAGTTAATTAGTGTTGTGTAAGAATAATTACAAAAACGTAACAACGTCATAACATTAATTGGCATTTTTTATATCCAAAGGTTACGATAAAAAATGGTGCAAGAAATGCATTTACCAACAGATGTTCTCTCGATTTATTATTAGTATATTTGTTTACATTAAACATTATTATGTTTCATAGTTACATAACAGAATGTAAATGAATTTTCGATAGTGTTTTTGTCTAAAAATTCTGATGTACAACTCTTGAGTGCCCTGATTCGTGAAACAGTGCCAGTGTTTCATTAAGGCGGATTACAATAAATGATCTTAAATAATTGGCTGGGACAGTGGATTTCACGAACACAACTTTCATCTTAAGCAACGGATGTATTTCATTAAGGTTTGCCCTGAACAAGCTTAATCACCAATCACTGCCCCATTTTAGTGAACGGAATTAATAAACAGTTTTATTATGAAAGCAATTCTTTTAACTTACCTTGTTACCTTCTTTTAACTTAACTTACCCTTGTTTTATAAACGCAAACAAATTACAAATTCTTCGTACTTCATTTATTTATCTTTACTACAGTACGAAGATTACAATAAATGTTTGCATGTAATATTTTTACGTATGAAGGTACGAGGTGGGTTTAATAATAAAACATTGAACTTTTCTGATCGACTATCTTTCTGCCACGAACTTTTGCTCTGATCAAATTCACTGTGCTTGTACGCCAGGCTTTAGATTAGGTCATTTACGAGATAAATACTATGCACGCACATGTCCCTTGATTCGTGTTATGTAATGTTTTATCGTTACGCTCGTAGTAATCAAAAAATTATACTATGACGCACCAAAGCTTGATAGTGGAAAACAATTCATGTACTAAGCAAAATATTTTTTTTCATGTCAAGATAACATTTGTGTTAAATTGCGATACGGTAAAAGGAAAAGTATAAAAAATTGTGTAACGTGACGCTGTTATTGGAAAGGAAATACATACCAGTAGCCTTATTTTAAAAGAGGAGCTGCCAAAGTGGTCGCACTTTGTTAAGCAAGAACAGCTTGTTTTCTAATTAGGGATAGAAGAATGTGGCAGAACTTGAAGGAGTCTAACAGCCGTCCAGAGACCACTCGAAGAACAAAAAATGAACGATAATGAAGATAAGACGTCATTCGATCCACATACCTACTTACGTGCAATTTTTTTTTTTCTTTCTAACTCACGCGTTCTTCAGACCTCAGCGGGTATGAAAAATGAAGTTAATAAATCATTCACTGTCGATTATTAAGATTTATATGCCACGTATTGAATCTTTCGTCATCGCCTTTAATGTACCATGAATTTCAGTGAACCCTCTATGAGCTCATGTAACTTTGAGGTCACATGCTAATACATAATTATAATTAAGGATATACGTATTTTGTTTTATCACTTCTTATGTATTTTTTATCAAGTATATTTTATCATAATTTGTTTTACATGACGTTTGAGTAAATTACTTCTCGTTAAACGTTATATTTAAGTGGATCTTATTTTAAACAGTGTCTGATCGATAGCCTCGCCATTTTGAGAATGAGACGCCCTTAAATTGTGCAATTAACGTATCCCAAAACTGACTTAAGATTTTAATAAGAAAAAGATTTGAAATAAAACAAAATTAAATTCTCTCTTTCATTTAAAACCTGTAACTGATTACAGCATCTGTATTGAGGAGTCCTATTTTAATCAATTTATCGTAAATGTTTGTTACCTAAAACGTTCCCTTTTTTATAAACCAAGTATTTTCAGCGTTGCACATGTTTCCATCTCATTAAAATTCTCTCGACAAGAAAGAGTACCTGACTGCATTTATTAAAACAGTTATAAACTTTATTAAAAGAAAAGATCGCGAATGAAACGTGTAAAATATTGAAAGAACGGAAGTAGACAGAAAAAACGATTGTCGCGGTGTTTGACGTCGCTATCGGCATTCTTATCACTTTTTCAAGTTTATTGGTACGTCAGGCAGCGGGACACGTACGTTTTGCTAAATGAAAAGAAATGTGCGTTTTGTCGGTCAATCAGTGTACAGTTCGACGAGCGAGCGGTTGCAAAAATTGATTTTCAATTCCCTTTGCCAGCCGGATGACTATCGCTGCGAGGCTATAATTACGCGTAAAAAGCGGAGATATTTGCAGACCCAACTATACTTAGAGAGGAACGAGAAATAATCAACGCGCGATAAAAGAGCAGAGAAAAAAAAATTCATCGCGCGGCTATCGATTCTTCTTTTCTATTCTAGCGGATCGCAAAGATAATTTGTATGAACATCGTGTCATGAATCTAATAGCTCATTCAAGCTAGAAACTTGGCTATTTTTTCATCGTTCTCACAATATCTACGAGACGAATTCATAAGATAATTTAATATAAATCAACATTTAATACTGACTATTATTAATAAACAGGCATTAGTTGTACAGGATGGTTCACAAGGTATTACAACCTCAATTTTCGTTATTATTGTTGCAGAAATAAGTAAAAATGACCATAAAGTATTTGTAGAAAAATCTGCATATTTATGTTCAATCAGTGGTCCTACGATAAAGTTTGGTCCAATGATGATTCCCGAGGTATCTCCTTAACTAATGCATTTTCGATATTAATAGGTCAATACTTTTCTTGTAGAGAATATAAAACTCCATCGATCGGTGCAGGAAAAACTATAGAATCCCATTTGACAAAGGTTGATGACCTTCATATCTCTACTACACGCCCACATAGAAAATAGTTCCAATAAAAGAACGTGCCTCTCTCGAAAACATTCAACACTGTATATAAACATTCTTTCCTACGTACAATAATAACGACGAAAATTGAAATTGCAATGTTTATTGAATCACCCTGTATGCCTAATACCTTACTAATAATACTTTTACTAAATTAATATTATGTATACTTACTTATAATACTGCATTAATAATACTTTTACTAAATTAATGCTACGTGTAATAATAACGAAGAAAATCAAGATGATAATATATCTGGTGAACCATCTTGTATAAAAGTTAACAAATAGGACGAATAGGAGGTGCTATAGGAAGGCAATAATATAATAGAATAGATAATCGATTAGGTCAGAATAAGATTGAAAATGAGTGTGTGAAGCAATGAGTGAGCTGGCCTGCAGTAAGATAGTTAGTAAGAATAATGTAAACCAAAGTCTTAGCTGTAAAGGTGAATAAAAACAAATACATAACAATAAAGTATTATTAATCCCTCATGAAAAGAAGCTGTAAACTTTAGATTGATGCATTCTTTTACTCTAATCAGTGAAAATGGATTTTGTTGAAGCATTGTAATGAAATTAATGAAGCTTCTTATATTACTCACTGAGTTTATACAATAATTAAATTCTTATTAACTCTGCGTTATATACAATAATCCGTATAAAAACGTCTCAATAGAAATCTGAAAATTAATCCAATCAGGAGGATTTCCGTTTTCCGTCCGTTCAATCAATTAAAATTTTCTCTATCGACAGGATTTCTGTCAGTTAAGTAGTGCCCAGCTCGTTACAAATAATATTGCTTCCTCGCTTGAATTTGATCAGCTGGATTATTCCACTTTTCTCATTCACTGACACGGAGACGCTTGAATGGCAACGTTAATTAATCGACCATCGCTTAGAACGTTAATTCGATGATCAGGAAATCTTTACTAGTACGAACAGAAGATAGAGAATATATTTAAAATATATGCTCACCGAACATTTGATTGAATATTTTATCGAAGTTAACTTCCTTCTTCTTTTCCAGATATTTGTGCATTACGCTTCTCACACTGCAACAGAAAGAAGTACGCGAATGTAATTACGCGAGAGTTTATTATAATTTACAACAATTGTCAACTAACATTGGGGAATACAGTCTCGTAGGGAACATGCTCCGTTACTTCTTATCGCATCTTACAGATAATCATATATGTTCTATCCGCCTGTACTTACGATTATCCATCGAGCTGCAAATGGAATTAATTCAATTGGGACAAGGTATTATTATGAATAAATTAATTAAAGATCGATAATTCTATCAATGATTTCCAATTTCTTTAATTTATTCATGAATGACACACGAAGTGGATGTAAGTTTCCATTTTAATAAGAATTTGAGAAGTTATTTATTATCTTTATAAATATATTTTTAAAATTTTTATATAAACTGTAGATGAATGTATTAGTATGAATAAATTAATTATCGATGCTTCCATCGATGATTTCCAGAAAATGATTATATCCTTTTACATAAAAAAGGATTACCCATCCCTCGAACGTAATACTATGCCTAAAATCATTAAGGACCTAATCAAACTCTGAAATAAAAAACATATGATTCAAGAACATGCACTGCTTGCTCATAATTTATTTCAATTAACCCAGCTGGCCGTTGCATAAGTTAAAAAAAGAGGAAACAGTATGTCTCTTGGAATGAAATGAAAAGATGCTGAAATTATTCCGCGATTAAATACTGAATCGTTTTCAGTGCAGTTTGTTTCGCAATGCGCGCAGCGATTTGACATTATATAAAGATAAAAGCCTGGTTCAATTGTAACCGCAGATACGAATACAAATTGCCTTTAATGCACCCACCAATTCGACGTAACATGCCGCGATTCATTACTGGAAATAACTTTTCTCGATTTCCCATCGACAATCCATCTGCCTGCCCATTTCCTTTTGTGTAATAAAATTCCATTTAAGAATGAAAGCGTTATTTTTGATTGAAAACCCGAATCGATATTTGTGAATGCTCGGTACGTTATTACTTTGCAAATAGGAACATCCATAGGTAATAGCTGCAGTGTGGGTGTATTATATGTACATACGTAGGTATGTAGCGCATATCTCGTCCAACAGTGCTTAACATGTTTAGTTAGTGTTTCTATTGGATTGAATATGGTCGATTGCCATCGTGATGGAAGATGATACCTTTGCACTTTACCAACCATGGACTCAGTCATTTGCTTGGCCAACGCTCAACTGCTTGATCAACGTCTAATTATTCAATAATTATCTGACATCGTTATTTTCGTCATACGTTAATGATACATATTTACCGTTCAAACTTTCGTCGTTTTATATTACATTTTTGTAATTAATAATAATAATATTATATTATGAAGTATAGTTTTTAATAATAAGTAAATGCACACGTGTATGGAAAAATTAATGAATAAAGGCTAAAAGAATGAACACTTTTTATTCCTGTAAATGAAAGGTGTTACAAAAATAGAGACTTGGGTAGTATAGATTATGAACAGTGTCTGTCCTTCGTGAGAAGAACTGATAAAAAGCGAATCTACTATTTATCCAATCAGTATAATGCTTCCACAGAGATACGTCGGATTTTATGCAATTATAAGCAAATGCAATGTGCAAAAATTATAAATGCTGCCTGCAAGATTCAAGACAACTTAAATGGATATTCCAATGTTTAAATGATCAAACAAATAAACAGATTTAAGTTGATACCATAAATGTTTTATTTTGTATAGATCTGCAGTCTAATGATGAGCAACTCAGAATTGCCAGTTTGTAAAAACTAGAGTTGTAAAGAATTACAATTGTATTACTTCACCAATTATAATTACAAAATAATTCAATTACATTCATGTTTCAATTAATTAGCAAGTCAATTAACTGAAAAATTAGAATTATGTAATGCAACATAATTCAATTACTATGTAATTGATGTACAATGTAGTGAAATTACACAATTCAATCACTATGTAATTGGAACACAATGGAATGAAATTGCATAATTAAATTACTATGTAATTAGAATACAATGCAATGAAATTACATAATTTAATTACTATGTAACTGGAATACAATGGAATGGAATTACTAAATTCAATCACTATGTAAATGGAATACAGTGCAATGAAATTAAATAATTTAATTACTATGTAATTGAAGTACAATGCAATGGAATTATATAATTCAATTACAATGTGTTTCAATTATTATAACCAAGTCAGGTTAAAACACGCTAACTTGAATAGTGCATTCGACAGAAAGGAAGCATCTCTTATTATAATGAACTAAACGAAATGGTTACGGTAAAATTGAAAACATTTCCTGATTTAGATAATGCACCAAAGATTGCGCCAATAGAGAAGAATGATCGAGTGGCTTCCTGAGAGCAAATAAGTAACTGAGTAGATATGTACGCTTCGAAGGGAGAAGGAAATCTATACACAGGCAAACTTATTTGCAGATTCGATCACGATGGATGAGCACACAATACCAACGAACCTGTCAATTCCCTCTTCCGTATGCATATAACTAGACCTCAATTAAGCTAGCAGGACCAAATCAGCAGAATCACATCGGACCTAGTGGAATATTTAGTACTTATTTTGTACTAATTTGTACCTGTACAAATTCAGCACTAAAGTATCAACTTTGATTTACTCATTTTCATCAATTTTAACTATTGGTCCTGCCAGCTTAACGTTAAACTCGCATCGCTCCGATTTCCATGACAATGGTGAGAGGTACAAAATTTCTTTTGATGGTACAAATTAGTACAAATTCAGCACTAAAGTATCAACTTTGATTTATTCATTTTCATTAATTTTAACTTTTGGTCCTGCCAGCTTAATATTAAGCTAGCAGCGCCACGATTTTTTTGAAAACGGCAGGAGGTACAAAATTTTTATTTGTGGTACAAATGAGTACAAAATAAGTACTAAATATTCCACTAGGTCCGATGTGATTCTGCTGATTTGGTCCTGCTAGCTTAAGAGAGGTAATTAACGTGTGTTCCTGTGGAGTTACAT